GAGGAAACGATCGCTGAAACAAGGGCTTTATTCGCCTGACGTTTCCGATTCTCACTTGAACCCATCATCAGAGACAGTGGCATAAACAGGTATGCTACCGCATACCTATAGTAATTAACCGCGCTCCACTTCATCGAGAATTGTTGCTCGATGGTGCGCTAATTGCTTGATGGTCGGCATGCAAGTCGTTAATCGCTGAAATCTCATCACCCGTGTTTGATGCTGGCACGATGGTTTCTCGGCCATCTGGCTCACCGGCTTGCGCGCCCCCCGAGTGGTCAACTGCTTTGGCTAGCCTATGCCCCAGCACGGAATATGGAATGAGGATGCCGTTGCACTTTTTGATAGACTGAGGTCCCGTGAACCATGACTCAAGCAACTCGCGGCTCACACGATTCTCCCCTCTCTCGAGAATTTTGGTCTCATCGAACTTGAATGTGTGGCCGGGTCTCGTCGAATGGGCCGCGACCTGAGGTTTGACGTCATTTCTCCGCACCGCTGCCGCGTGTTCGGCAATTCGTGTCTTCCAGTTTCTCCGACATAGTTGCTTTGCCCGCAACTACACCAGATCCGGTAAACGACGCCAGATGTTTCTTGCCGTGGCAGTGGGTCTTTTGGTGTCATCCCCTGACGCCTTATGGTGGCCTCCGGTCTGTGTGCAACTCCAACCCCATGTGGTGCGAGAAGGCGACTAACGGCCTTGCAGACATTCCTGAAGTATGGGATCGCTCGCCAGAATTTGGGGTCGGTACGACTTTGTCACTCGTCTCGTTTGCGCATGCACCGGTTGACGGAGTTGCTCGGGTAATCATTTTCACTGAAAACCCGTCGAAGATATTGAACTTCGGCAACCTTGTCTTCCAGTTCACTGCAGTGCGTCTCAATAAGCCGATATAGCGTTCTTACGCATCTTCGTTTGTGGCTGATTGGGTGGTTACTGTTGAAGTTCAGTATCTGCTTCGTGTTCGTCGCTTTTCTGAACACTTTGGTCTTTAGGCCACCACAACCTTTGCGACAGACGAGGACATCAAGGAATGCCAGCTGGGTATTTTTTCCTCCTCCATCGTTAACTGTATGTTCGGGAAGACGCTGTTTAGACGTTCATTGAACGTTAACACCTAATCCCGTTCGATGACGACGAAGGAATCGTCCACATGCCGAGCCCAGAATTTCGGTCTGTGATGTTGGAAGGCCAGTGACTCTAACCGTTGTAGGACCGCCTCGGCGATGAATCTCGAAATCGGTGAATCCATCGGTGTTCCCTTCACCTGCTCGTAGATTGTTCCGTCGAACGCGAAGTACGTCCTGAGACAGAACTTGTGGAGCTTAGGGACTTGGGCATGTCGGAGACGATTCTCCGTTTAATTGTATTTGCTTTGTACGAGTAGCTCGACGGTCTCGATTGCCAGATCCTGGGGGATAGAAGTAAAGAGGGACGTGACATCAAAAGATACCATGACCGGGCCGATCGGAGCACATCACGCCCAAACAAATTCCGCAAACTGCCTGACCCAACGTCATCCAGAGACGACACACTGGTACAAAACCTGTCGTCGAAGGAACTGACGATGGAGCAAGTGCAGGTTTCACGGCCCAAAGCCTCATTCAACACAGCTGATGCCAAACCTGCCCATATGGTTACAGCATTGGAATCGGTCATTAATCAGACGGAAGCGACATAGGAGACGAAGAACCTTATCCGACACCAAGTGTCGTCCCTCCTTATGAAACACAAGCCGCGCGAAATACGTCCAAGGGTCGAACTGTTCAGGTTTCAACCCCGTACAGAAGCGTTTTCGGGATAACGGCTCCGCAAATTTTCATTTGAGGTGGATTTCGCGAGAATTCCAAAATATACCCTTCAGCCGGGTTATGGCCCGGCCGAATTTTGGAGATCTGATATGCAAATTCGCCGTTAATTTTGGTGTTCCGCGAAATTTTACTGTTTAATGGGCGAAATTGTCCACTGTTGTGATTTGAGTGGCATTGAAGTTGATAGGAGATCCATTGTATTCAAGACTCGGCCTTGGCTGGTGCATAAGCATCGTCTTCGCTGTGCCTATGATCAGTTCGAATTTTGGGCAGGCGGCAGCGATGAGGTCCACGCTTCCTTGAATGTACTCTTCCGTCTTGGCGTTGGGCGCGCAGTTATCTGTGAAAAATAAGTTGTGTACGCTGGCCGTTTGATATTCTGAAGAGGGCGGGGGCGAGTACATAGCCCTGCTCCACTCCATTAGTCACCGCGAATCCTTTGGAGACTGACCGTTGTCTGTGAAGAGCACGAATATCCCGTCGTGGAGTTGCCCTCCTATGTAGGTGAATCGTTCCATACATCTGAATTTCAGTATGGTTCGCCAGAGTCCATCGGGACTCACCGTGTAGAACGCATTCGTGGGATCCATGAAAGTGATGCAGTGCGTGGTCCTCATTTCTTGGGATTTTTCTTGCAGTTAGTGGGCTGCGGACACCATGTCAGTGTTCTAGCGGTTTTTTTCGAAATCCACACTGTGTTCTCGGGAGAAGACATTGTGTCAGTTGAATATTCAAGCGACTGAGGAGGACGGGGACGAAGATGTTTCCGACAATATTGAGAAGAGATATACCTCTGTTGTCATCACAGAGTCGGCAGTTTTCTCCATACTGTCATATGCGACTGGTTGTTCTTGTCGCCACATATCCTGGAGGAGTGAAGTAGGCTTGTCCACCTGCCGGGTGCCTCCCTTTTCATCGATTTCTGCCGGGAGTCCGCGACCAGTGATTTCCTAATGAACCTCTGGCGTTAATTGTCTCTTGCAACGCGCGCGGGCAGGCGATATTGGCGTTGATTTCCATTTATTAGAGCCTGTTGATGGCGTCGCCGAAGATCATGGGGGCCGGTTGAGGGCTTTTCTGAGGTGCTCTGCCCGAATCTCTAAAATCTGCGATTTCTCCGTCAGGGGTGTTTTTCTGTCGCTATTTGGCATGGGTGCCATCCACTTTGTTTACCGACCGTAGACTGATTTGGCGATCACGAAGCTATTTATTTCGTTGAGGGTTACGTACCCTTGTATTTCTTCAACCCACCTAATACGCAGGTATTCTGCATTTCCCTCTGCCTTTGCTTTACTAGGTTTCCGCATCGGAAGTATGTGGCCTTGTCGGCGATGCTGATGTTAGTGGCGCAGGTCATGCGCAGTCTGGGGAGCAGAATGCGTATTTCTAAATCACTGTCGTCAAACCAATCCTGGTGCTGCCAACTTGCGTGACTGGGGACTTCCGTCGAGGTGGTCTGGATGGTATCCCACAGCCACCTCCACCGAGTTTGCCTTTAAGTTTGGAGTTCGTGTAACTGATAAAATTCAACTCGCTCTCAGCCGTGTCAAGTAATTCGCTATTTAAATTGACTGGTGTTCACTTACCTTGCGGTCGCCTGCGCGGTTGCAGTTATAACCTTATCCTGGACAGGATAAGACGGTGAGACGGCTATCAGTCGTCATCATAGCTTCAAACCGGTCAGTTTTCCGAACAAGAACATGGTCCAGCTGATTTCACTGGCGCGAGTGAGGATGCATCCATGTCGCCTTCTCTCACACGGACGACGGGAGAAGATGTTAGTCAGAAGATCGTGTTCCTTATAGGCCTGCAGGATGAGGAAGCCATTGCTGTTGCAACTGCCGATGCCGTGACGATCCAGCGCTCCCCCCCAGGCAGCATGGCCTGTGGTGACGTGGGCGTTGAGGTTGCCAAACACAATAAGTTTTCCCGCCCTCGGTAAAGTAACTAGGATGACGTGCAGGTTCTTCCATGGCTGGTTCGACCGTCGTTGCCGGCGATGTCCACCGTGTGCTTCACAACAAGGTGAGGGCAGACACGGCGACTTGGGCATGCATTAGTTTATAGTAGGGGCAGACTTTCACAGTAACTACTGCACTTTCTCTTCTTCCCCCACCTGCGTCCGACGTCGAGACATAGTTAAGAAGACCGGAGGCGGGAGAGGGCCCAGGTGGCCGGCACGGCCGGAGCCGCATCTACGCGCATCACCATACTCCATGGTCCACAATAAACATTTGAGCAGGATTTGAGCCAACAGGAAAAATGGGTCAGAATGAGGAGGGGATTGCACAAGTCACTGGGTAACCATGCGCACGGCCTGTATACCCAGCGACAGCTCAAGCGCAGCCACCGACAGGGAACCAGGAGCCAGGGAAATGACAACGCACGGCCGGCTGTGCTGGCCATTGGTGAGGACGGGGCGTAAGTACTGACGACGGGGGCAAATGCGCTTCCCATCGAGCGGCGGCCTCATGGTCATGAGACGGTCATTAGGTAGGCGTGACAGCCGTTTCACGACGTCCATCCCGACGCCGAAGGAGAATCTGATATCTTATCGCGCTGCCTTTGGATGTCCGCTCCAGAAGGAGGTTCATTCGAAAGCCATCTCCAGTTGTTAATGCTCGGGAAGCGGATCTCACAAAGAACCACAATAACCGCTTTGTAGCAGGTCAATTTCCGGACTACCAAAGCTATCCTCCTTTCTGGACTGTTTGGCACCGGAATGCCCATGAGGGAACGAGCAATGCGGACGGCCGGAATGAGCAGGACCACTCTGGCAGTCTGTGGAGAGGCAGTGGAGTGGGGGCTGGTCTGGTTCTTGTTTCTTGTAGTGTTTCGACCGAATATTTCTTGTCCACAAGCCACTGCCAGCTTGCCGACGGCGTGCTTTACCAGCAACTTTTACAGCATCTTTTCTAGCCGCGCTCTTCCAAGGGGACAGGCGATGCTGTCCTAAATTGGGTTGTTGTTGAATTCCACTATGGGTCACGACTTTTCAGCGAAGTGGCGATCCGGATTAGCCTCTCGTGCGTACAGGATTGCACGTCGTCCACTCCGTAGGATTTTTGTTTATTTTGGGGAGGGAGAATGGGAACTACCGGGTGTGCGGACACACACACGTTGGACACCCTCATCTGGTGTCGCCTACCGGTCAATAGCGGTTATCGCCGCTTGACCGTCGTGTTCAGCATGGCTTCGTATAGCCAGAGATGAAAGCTGGGTGCCTGGAGCGTACGAAGCAGAGTTATTTGTCAGATTTATCTATGCGTTTGATGGGGGGCTGTCCGGGTATTGCTTATAAGTACTTGTTGCCACCGTGGTAGTGCCTGCACTATCAGGTCCAGCTGGCGTCACTTATACTCACTTTTCATGCTTGGTAATTGCCAACAGTGTATGGTCGCGCAAAGTCCTGTTAACCAAATTTTTGCAACCGGAGCGACTTTGCCGCTGCACCGTGGGTTCCCGTCCACGGCACTCTGTGCACGCGAAAATGTGCACGGACAATGTGAAGCAGGCAATCTGAAAACCAGCAACTTAACTCAACCGGCCACTTCCTTCATCCCTAAATTTATGCTTTACCTCCTGTCCGAAGGCCGTTCTACACCAAAATTATTCGAGAGATGTTGCTGAAATACGTTTGGGGAAACCCTAATGACCATTTAAGGCTTATTTTCCATCGTCAGCCATCGGGAGAGCCCGAGGATCTAACATGGGTCTTTTGGTTACTCCACATGGTTTCAAAGTCTCTGCTAAGGGGACACAAGACAGCCGCCCTCTTGACTGAGGGTGTCAGATGGTGTCAGGCCGATGACAGCAAGTAAGCCCCGCCCGAGCCCACCTCCAGACGCCTGGGCATTGTCGCGTTATCGGAGACTGATGGATGAGGGAAAGGCGAGTGCGGCAAATGCGAGCAGGTCTACCTCACTACAAACTTATTCGTGAGCAGGCCACCTGTGCCGCAGCTACTCCGTGTGGCACCCGGTGGACGTCCTCGCTTACGACGGTCGAACCCTCAAGCAAGCCACCAGCGGCCATTTCAGTTTCTCCTTGGTTGGTCTGTGCCACCTGTCGCTTATGGGTTGCGCGTCGTTGCGCAACCGCCTGCGAGAGTCCTAGCAGGAAAAACTGAGTCGCCCGGTTTGCGCCGCATAATCACAATGGATAGATGAGTGCACTTCCACGTGATTAACCACCACACAGGTTTTGCTTTTCTGCATTTCTTTTCTAACAGTTCACTTCCGTCACAAGTACATTTCGGAGTCGACGCTAAATTGTCATGTCCGCTATTGTCAGGCTAGGCAACGGTAAGGTGGAGGACCCCAATTAGCTGTCGGTAGACTGTGGACCGTGTGTTAATATATGTACAGTAGGCGGGCTAATTCATGAAATGTCAACCGAAATTCCAAAATGCGTTTTCGTTTCGAAAAGATTACTTAAGTAGGGTTGTAAAATTAATCCTAATGCAGAATAATTCTAAAATAATACAGTTACCTCAGGATGCCAGCTTTCGAACGAAATCCTTTTCGGCTGGATGCAAAAACTATACTCGACAAAAAATGCCTACATATGCGACATGCATTTTTCCCCTGATTTTCGATGCCTTTAAAAATACAGTTATATTTCATGGAAAACACGCATAAAAATATTTATTGGTCTGCTCATTCGGTTGAGAATTGCGTCTTCTTTCAATTTTATAGTCGAAGGAAGGGTTTAATCCGGCTTTTAAAAAGTTTCTAATTGCGAGATTTTTTAATACCGTAAATGACCGTTCATAAAACGTCATGTCTCTGCATTTATCAACGTGGCTTGTAAAGTTACCAATATGGCCCAAATCTACTGCTACATCTTATGAACCCCATATGGTCTCCTATTAATACCGTTGATAAATGTATGGATTTCTATACGCGGAAAATATACGGCTTATAGTTTGGAGACCCGAATGCAAGTGTAACGGCAAGACGGCGTTCAAATTTATTCGGGAACTGGAACAGCTTCCGAAAACCGAACTATACCCTTCCTTCGAGTATAAAATTGAAAGAAGACGTAATTTTCAACCGAATGAGCAGAAGAATGAATATTTTTCTGCACGTTTTCCATGAAATATAATTGAATATTTAAGGGCATCGAAAATCAACGATAAAATTGCATGCTACGTATGTATTCATTTTTTAGAGAGTTTGGTTTTTTGCACGCAGCTGAAAAGAGGTTCATTCGAAAGCCGGCATCCTGAAATAACTGAATTATTCTAGAACAATGCTGCATGATGATTATTTTTACGACCCTAGTTAATTAATCTCTTCGAAACGAAAACGCACTTTGTAATTTCGGTTGACATTTCATGAGTTAGCCCGTCTACTGTACTTACAAATCTACTTAAGTACTGATGGATGGCTGTTTTACGCAAGAGCTGAGAAACGGAAAGCAACTGAGTCTGAAGTGAGGGACAACAGAAATGTCTGCCAGTTGACAGACTCCGTTTTTCGATGGTTATGTACTCTTTCGAGATGAAACGTCATGGAATATCCAGCTGGACACCGTATATGCATACATTCATCATTTCACTCGAGGGTATCTTTTTGACACCGATCGTCTTCCGTGTTTATCTCGCATTCCGTCAGCTTCCTGTCCTGCGTAATACGTTTCCCAGTACAACACTACATCTCGTCTGTGACTTCTTTGGGGGGAGGGGGGAATAAACTGTAAATGTGGCAGCATTAACGTAGTTTAAACACCCTTAACGACAAGTGTGCATTTGCTTGAACCAACCTCGATTCCATCTAATTCAAACGCCTGCGCACCTCCTCTCCATAAAATTGCCTGATCTAAGGCCTCTTCGGTTAGTGACTGTCCTACAAGTAGATGAGGTCGCAGAAGCTTGCTTGTGTGTACTTTTAGCATAATCTGTCGCGGAAATGCCGGTGAGGTGAGGTGAAAATAAACCGGTGGGCAAAATAAAAGGCCTGTAAAAACGGCATGCTAAAATCTGCACGCTTATTTTTGTGTGACGGACCGCTCGGAAGTGAGACAGCCATGACGGATCAGAGCTCTAGTTTTTTATGAAGGGTGTTTTTACTGTCATGGAGGTGATATACTGGACGCCACTAATCTGCGACCCGGCGGACCAAATATCCCAAAATTCTCATGCCTTTTGTAAATTGGATCAGCAAGAGGAGTGTGTATCAAATCTGTGTTCCCATACAGGTGGTCCTGTTAGACACATGCTCGAGCTCGCAGCCGAGACATTTTGGCAGGAAAAGCAGAATGCGGACTCTACGTACGCTCCTTGTCCACAAAATTTCTCTAATGTTAAGGTAAACACCTGCTTCTGGAGAATAATCCGAAAGGTCGGAAAATATAGGGAGTTTTCTCTCTGCCCGAGAGAGAGGGAGAGCGTGGCGGTTGGAAGCCAAGTCGAGAAGTCAGAGCTTTGCATGCAGTTCATAACAGTCAAGGAAAGCCCTACTTAAATTTCGAGTGGTCGATGTAAGGCAATGAATGAAGGACTCTCATATATGATAGTGATTTCATCTCCCTCGAGAAATGATCTGAATACGCTTATTCGGAACAGGGGATAAAGTGGCGTGCTCCGTATTAGGGGTGGCCTTGGGCTAAATTTCCCGGTGGTACCTAGATTTGTGTACTAAATTTAGCCCTAACCCCACCCATGACCCTAAACCTCTTAACCCGAACTTCCCTAATTCTAAATGTTACTGTAACCGCCCTGGAATTTGGAACAAGACCATCCGTAATATGGGGAAGGTACTTATTCCCATGCCCTACCGTTTTCTTGATCTGGCCACATCAGACGGGCGCCAGTAGACTTCATTCCCAGTGTCTGCAATCTCTTGTTCCAGTTTAAAAACTTGATTACTTGACGAATTTTATAGCGTCTTCTGCTTACTCGCAGGGGATTCTGTACCCGAATATGCTGCTCCCCTTGGAGTTCTCGCAATGATGTCCAGTGCTCCAAACAAGGGAACAAAAGACACTTTGTCATTACCTCAGTGCGGTAAGGGCGTAACTGTCATCCGGCAAATCTCATGGCATATTACCTGCGTCCTGTGAGTTTGTTCTGCTGAGAGTTTTCATGGTCAGTACACCAGTATGTTGGAACCAGTTACAACCTTGGCGAAGAAAACTGAATGCCAAAGTAATACTTTCAAGGTCCAGGAAAAGGCCAAAAGCGAGTAGGGGACTCGATGAAGCCTGCACGTGCAGATGGCACAGCAGAACTAAAACTTGACATGTTGGAGAGAAGGGAGTGTGTGCGGAGGCAGGGAAGAAGCGGACGACGACGACGATGATGATGATGATGATGATGATGATGATGATGAGGAGGAGGAGGAGGAGGAGGAGGAGGAGGAGGAGGAGGAGGATGGTTGTGACGATGGTGAAAGGTTGACAGTGGCAACGTTGGTGACGACGGTGCCGCCGCTGTTGATACCGTCTGTGCATTCACGGTGAAGGTACTTCGCAGGCAATAGGACTATCAAACCTCGGGACTATTGCTGATATGCGAGAGGGCTGAAGCACGACAGAGCGGCGTATGAAACCACACGTTTTCATATGACACAGGGCCCACGTGCGCGATCGTGCGCAAGCCCGCCTGGCCCACGCCGTAAGTAGGATTGGTTGGGGATCAAGAACACATAACTGTCAATTATCGTAATTGTTTTTTCATGCGGCACGTGTGTATGTCATTTGGTTCACATGAATTACCAACCAACAGGACCAGATGCGTAAGAGTCGACGTGTTGTAACCAGCCACTGGATCCTTTCCCCGCCATGCTCACAAGTCCAGTGAGTTGAGAATGCTATTCCGTTCAAAACCTGCTTCGCTTACAGGGAAATTCGACATGTGTGGGCAATTTCCATTTTTTCCGGCTGAATCGGCGGATTAACTGGACCCACCTATATTGTGGGCGGAATTTTATCCGGACATACCCTAACCAACCAAATCACAGTGGCTCAGGCTGCGCGCCTGAAGCCTTTTCACACGACCTTAACTGACCCTGAAAACGGGCTCCGCTCGCGCACTCCGTCAACACCCCGACGCCTCCACTCCTCCCGATAGGCAGGGGGCCGCCCCACGTGCGTCCTAGCTGTCTGTCACATGAACGGTTAGATGTGCGTGATATGATGGCTCGTGGTGTGCGTCCCTGGAACAATGCGATCCGTCACCATGCTCAGGGTTGGTCACGTGTGGTCCGAGCAGCAGCGACCAATGTCACGTGGGGCGACCACGACCAGTAAGGTCATCAGGTCGTATGAAGGGGGGAGAGACATCGCCATAAAGATCCGCAGTCCAGCCACCCTGATAACTTTTGTTAGGGCTTTGGTCCACACCAATGCAAGCGGGACATGTGACCGCATTCAGGGCACTTGTTGCGTCGCGGGAAGATCCCTGACTGACCTTAAAAAAGCCAAGTACCACTGTGAAATGAACAACAATCATTGGTCATTTTTTCGGCTCCAAAGGCAGAAGGAAACAAGCGAATTGTATATCTGTTCCTTAGATGCGTTAAACCAGAACGAGATCGTACTGGTTTGTGAGTCACAGTGGCACACGTCAGATGCTGATCAGGCTGTGCCTTGTCTCAGTGAACCCTTAACCACTATTGTACTTGCTCGCGCCGTAGATGTAGACCTCCATTCCGCCATAGCCACCACCCAATCCCGTCACCAGCTGGTAGAACGGCGCGGCTAACAGGCTGACGCATGGGACAGGAAGAGAGAGAGAGGTCGTCACTGGGTCATCAATCCTCATGGGAATCGGCAAATTCCTCGTTATAATAAATGTGACGCGTTTGGAATTGTCGCAAGCTGGGAACGGAGGTTTTAAAGGTTGCCAGACGGCCTGGTCACTCGGTCCTTCGTGGGGCTAAGGGCCAGGCTGCAGTGACTCCTTCTTAATGTGGCTCTCATGACACTTCAGTAGTAGTGAAAATGCGATTCCCAGGTGGCATATCCAAAGAAGAAGAGGCGTTCACCGAGTGGGGTTTATTGGAGGTCAAACGTTTCGATTAGTTGATTCGTCTACCCATCTTCAGAGACTGGAAAGTCCTGCGCACAGCTCCCGAAGATGCGCACAGCTGCCAGTCTCTGAAGATGGGTAAACGAATCAAGTAATCGAAACGTCGGACCTCCAATAAACCACTCTCAGTGAACGCCTCTTCTTCTTCTCATGACACCCTCACTCATGTGAGATCCGTACGTCTGGAAAGGGAACCAGGTCGTGTGTGGCACGCGTGTACGACCTGTTTGGCCTTATCAGCCACTGCGCCCACCTCCGGTCGTCTCGTCACTGGAGTCTCAGCCCACCAGCAGCTCTCACCCTGTCTTATTGCCGACCTGTGCCATAATCCGTGCGCCTGTGAAATTGCATTTGTCGCCTCTCGCTGGGGTACGGACAGCGACTTGGAAGATCGGGTTGTCCCTCTGAGCGGTTTTTTTAAACGCTTATTTGTTGTGAGCCTATTGGTCCAGCTGTCTGGCTCGTATAATAGCAGGAATGGCCACGACATGGAATCTGATAAAATACAGTAGAGTGCACACCTGGGGCCAGCTTATCCTTCATCTGCATAAATCTGACATGCACGATAATTATCGGGCGATGGGCGATACCCATGCTAAGCTCTGCGGCTACTGATACATTCACTGTATATAGCACACTGTGCCAAAATGTTGCTGGGTCTCGCTTGTTGTGTACGAAGGCAGCAACTAGCGGAATTGCCTGGGTAACCGTTTCTAATTAACTGGTCCCGTAGATGCCGTAGTTCCTGTACTCGTCCTCCTCGTTCACTGCAGTGCCACCTTTGTGCACCATCAGAAGATCGCTATGATAGTTTAGGGTCTGGGTTGTGTCAGTCGCTATCAGATGCACAGTGCTTATATATGACAAAAACATCAAGGAGGGGCAGCTGTCGGAAAAGATGTCATACAGTCGGTCACCGCAACACGAGCTCACTCGACGCTTGCAGACCGAATTATCATCCTGAATCTGGCGCGCATATGTACTACACCGTCTGTGCCCTCTCGATTTTGAATGAGCACTTTAGTGTTAGGTTCATATCTCATAATTTTCGGAGACGCGTTCCGTGGTACTATATCTGAGTTGAACACGTCTGAAACTTTGCCGATGACAAAAACAACAACGGCGACTTATATGAGTGCGTCACCACTATGACTAAAATCATTTGAACTCGGGGTGTCCCGGCGTCTGAATGCTAACAGTGGTCTAGGAATATGTTTCCGCCAGTACTGTACCGAAGATCGAACCACAGGCATCCGGGCTGGACCAGACGCGGCATACAGAAAATAGTTGATTTTAATAGTGGTCTCACTTGAGACGTTTTGATCGAAACGATAGTCCGATTTGATCGCTGAAACAAATGCTTTGTTTGCCTGACAGCGCCGATTCACACTCGAAGCCATCATCAGAAACAGAATTAGATAAGGGTAATGTGTTGCACAGGTGTTGACGTATGCAAAGGATGCAGTTTCTATGCCACCCCGCGCCTATCATAAGCGGCGACTTCCCCTGTCAGCGCAGGTTTTTCTATAGCGGCCAAAGGCGTTGAAGGCAACACACACGGGTTAACGGGAATCACGGAAGACAATTCCTGACTAACACTTAGCTGCAATGGGTTGTTAAACGCATTATTGTTCTCATCCAAACCAGGACTAGGAAAAGTCAAACAACACGAGATATACATATGTTAGAAATGGGGTTTACCACAAAGGAAGATTGTAAATGATAAACGGGCAGATGGGAGTCCCAACAGGAGTGACTCGTCTGGATGGAGAGGTGACGCAAACACACCAGCTAGAAAACCGGTGTGGAATGCAGCGTTGTCTGCAATTGCGGGGTAGGGCTGTGGAAAGTGCTGGCGTGGAGCGGGACGAACGTTACGGTAACAGCGGCAGTCGCAGGAAGGGGGCAAGCGGGAATGTGAGGAGAGGGCACCAGTTATTTTCACCGACACGCGGTTACACCATCTCCATCCTGGATCCGTGACCAAAAGTGTCACTTCAGTCAAACAACTCTATCGAATTCCTGGTCCGTTGCAACTCCGGATGGAGTGATATTTGTTCAGTGGCCCGCAGCCGAGTCGGTAATTGTCTAAATTTCACCATTCGTGGCCCGTTTGGCTCACCGACACTGGCTCTGTGACCAGTGGACGGCCGCACACCCCCCGCGTGGCTAATTACTGCCTAGGAAAAGTCTCTCCGCAGAATATGGAGGGGGGGGGGAGTAGTTGCGCATGTTAATCACCTGAGTACAGGAAAACCATGTCTCGAGTCGTTCGCGGCTCGCACACTTGTTACCTCTCGCGAGATTTTCGTCCCATCGAACTTCAATGTATGATGTGGTCCGCGACCGGAGAGCTGGCGTCGTTTCTCCTCACTGCTGCTGCGTACTTCGTCATCCACGCCCAGAGTAGTCTTCCAGTTTCTCCGACATAGTTGCTCTGCTCGCAACTGCACCAGATCCGGTAAACAACTCTAAACTTTTCCCGATGCGGCAGTGGACCCTTCGGCCCCTTGACCAGGTTGCCTTCTGTATGCCACCTCGACTCCGCGAGGCGTGAGAACACGACTGACGCTTCTCGGTGCGTTCTTGACGTACAGGAGGGCTCCCCAAAATTTGGGATCGGTTGAAATTGTTCTCGTCTCGTTTAAGTATGCAGAGGTTTACGCAATTGCGCGGGTAGCCATTCACTCTAGGCACCTGCCCAACGTATTGCGATTCGGTAGTTTTATCTCCCCGTTCAACGAAGTGTGTCCCAACCCGCCAGTTTAGTATGCAAGTGCGTTTGTGACTGATTTAGCGGTTATTGTTGTAGCACAGTACATGTGTCGTATTTGTTCCCTCCCTCGATACTTTGGATTTTAGGTAACAACAATCTTTACAGCAGACGACGACATCAAGAAAGGCCAGCGGGTTGT